AATTCCTTATGATCAATCTTATAGACTTCTTTAGGCATTACATGTATTAAAATAACTATGGTCTTTTGTTTCTATGGATTTTATCATGGATCTTATAATCTCAGATTTATATGATTTTATATTTGTGATAGTAGATCATTTTATCAAAATTATACATTTTGTACCATGTACAAAACCTATTACAAGTAAAGAAACAATTAAGCTTTTCTTTGACAATATCTATTGCTATCATGGATTGACAAAGGATATTGAATCAAATAGAGAGACATAATTTATATCAAGATTTTATAAAATCTTTTTTAAAATATTAAACATGAATATAAAACTATCTTTGGTCTTTCATCTTTAAATTGATGTACAAATAGAGTGCGTAAATCAAATTTTGAAGTAATATTTGAAGTGTACCATCAATTACCAATAAGATAATTAAATAATTTTTTAACCATTGATAAATTTTATTTATAATAATACAATACATTCTTTTATGTAACAAATATCTTATTTTTTTAATTATGATTATCATCTATGATTTGATGCTTTTCTACTTCTCAAAAGTTGATGATCCTACAACAACAAATTTGGTAAATCATTTATTTAAGTTATATATAATAATAATGGTATAATTAAAAGAAGCTTAAAAATGATAGGATACCAATATAGATGCCTATTGCAAGAAAAATCCTCAATTCTATATTGACAATAAGGTATAATCATTTTATCACAATATTAAGAGTAATTGTGGTTGTAAGAAGTTGGACTATTATAGGCTTGGATTTTTTTTATTTTTTTTTTATTTTTTTTTTTTTTTTTATGAATAGTCAATCCTATTGTTTATTAATTACATCTACTAGAGTCTATAAAGATTCATCTTATATTTGATGTTGTTGTTATATATGTTGTCTTATTTGGAAATATATTGAATATATGGATGTGAAAGATGAAGTTGTGTTTTACAAATATTTAAGAAAATTTAATAGGTTTTATCTATATAACAAGAATGGAATTCAAATTTTAATTCAAAATTACTTAAAGCCAATACGAAGTACTCAAAAACTCTCTTCTTAGTAACTTTAATAATATATAAACTCCAATTGCCTTATTACTTTCATAATTAGATAATTTTAATTTTTCTTTAGAAGCCCTAACTCTAGTCAGTAAGCTTTGGTGAGCTGTAACTTCTAATTTGATTATCCACTTAGTACAAAATTTTTCATATAAATGCTACTATAAGTCTTTTATATGTTGTAAAAATTTTAGCCTAATTCAACATATAGATTGTGAAAAAAATCCAAAACCTTGTACTAATATCACTTGAATGTCAACTTCAAAGGTGATGTAGATGTTTCAATAGCAATTTTTCCTTCTCCAACTATTAACTTCAATTCAAAATTGATATGTAGCTTGATCTTAAATCCAACTATTAACTTCAATTCAAAATTGATATGTAGCTTGATCTTAAAGCCCTCTAATACCATGCCAAATTTTACCTTGATCTAACTTCTGATACCTTCTTGTATCAAAATCTAGATATCTCTCAATTACATTGTAAGATTAATACAAACTTTTACACACAATTAGTACACTTAATTAATCAAATACTTCAAAATTTTATACAAAATTAGTACACTTAATTAATCAAATACTTCAAAATTTTATACACAATTAGTACACTTAATTAACCAAACACTTCAAAATTTTGAACTATAGATGTGATACCAATTGCACAAACTAATTGAGAATGCTAGCCCTTATTATATTGCATAAATTCCAAGTCATTGATACAAACCTTGACTTTGAACAACAATTGCAAAGTCATTTCAAATCCTACAAAAACAAGTCTTACATCTTTAGAATAAGCTTGAAGCTAGCTCATGAATTCTAATTGCCAAACTTCAAATAAATCTCTATTTTTTCCTAGGCGGCCATTTTATAGGCTGGAGGTCTAATTTTGATCCTATTCCACAAATAATCTACCTTTGAGTATCAATTCAATCTATTTAAGGGATTTTTTAGTCCGACCCTGCCTTCAACTTAATCTTAGTATCAACCATACTAATCACTTACCACTTCTATCCTATTTTTACTAATTTATGGCCTTTTTAAAGTAATAAAAGAAACTTTATAGTCTTGAAGGTAAAATTATTAACCAAATTTTAATCTACTAGCTATTAAAGCAAAAAAAAATAAACTAAGAGGCCTTTATAAAAGCCATGTTTAAATGTCTTGAATTACTATTGAATCAAGATGATTAAATATTAATCAAAAATTTATTTTTGATTATATTTTTATCATATAGTTGTGTTATAATGGGACAATATGACTCTTTTTGAGCCACATAGGACAATGAATATCTCGGAAAGAAAAAAAATGCCACCTTATTTTATAAAAGTGGATAAAAATAAAAAATTTGAATAAGAAGAAGTCTTAGATTGAAGGCAACACCAAAATAGGTTAGAATACCTTATTCATAAGTATGAATATGATATTAGTGAATACACATGGAAGCCAATAAAGAGTCTTGTAAATACAAGAAAGAAGGTTGAGGCTTTTTATTGATGATATCTATCAAAACTAAGAGAAATAATCTTCACTATAAAAGAAACAAGAACTAAAAAAGACAATATTTTATCTTCTAGACTTGTTTATAATTTCTAGATATTTATTATATTAAAATAAATATAGAAGTAATAACTAGCAAACTCAACTTAAGAACTATCATTTGCTAACTTATTAGTGTTGTATTACATGTTGTCTTATTTGGTAATGCACTGAGCATTTGGTTGTAAAAGATAAATTTGTATTTTACAAATATTCAAGAATCTTAATAGGTTTCATCCAAATAAGTAGAATGTGATTTGAATTTTAATTCAAAAGTGCTTAAAGTCAATACAAAGTACTTAAAAATATTTTTCTTAGTAACTTCAATCATACACAAACTTCAATTGCCTTATTACTTTTATAATTAGGTAATTTTTATTTTTCTTTACAAGTCGTAATCCTAATCAATGAGCTTTAGTAAGCTGTAACTCTTAATCTGATTGCCTACTTGATATAAAATTTTTCATACAAATGCCATTATGAGTCTTTTATACACTTAACAAATTTTTAGTCCAATCCAACTTGCAAATTGTGAAAAAACGTCCAAAAAATCGTATTAATGTTAGTTGGCCACCAACTTAAAAGTTGATACAAATGTTCTAGTAGCAATTTCTCCTTCTTCAATTATTAACTTCAACTTAAAATTAATGTATAGCTTGATCTTTAAGTTGTATAAAATCATACTAAATTTTATTTTGCTTCAAAAAATAGATCTTTAGATATCATAGAAATCCTATCCGATTGTAAATTGTCAATTTCTTATACTTTTTTGTATTAAAAACCAAATATCTCTTAATTGCTTTGTTAGATTAACATAAAATTTTATGTGCACTTAATACATCTAATCAACTAAAAAAATTCAAATATTAAATTATAGATGTGACACCAATTATACAAATTAGCTAAGAATGCTAGCCCTAATTATATTACATAAATCCAAAGTCACTAATACAAATCATGACTTTGAATATCAATTACAAAATCATCCTAAATTCTATAAAAATAAGCTTTATGCTTTTAAAATAAGTTTAAAATTAGGTCTCTATTTTTAGTTGTCAATCTCCAAATGCTCCTATATTTTGTCTTAGGCAATTGTATTAATTGCTTAAGGTTTCATTTCAATCCTGTTCTATAAATGATCAATCCTTGGATATCAATCCAACCTATGCTAAGAATTTTTTAGCTTGAGCCTATCTTTAGCTTAATCCTACTATCAACCATATTAATTATATAAATCTTTCACCTTTTTTTTTTTTTTTTATTAATTTATGGCCTTTCTAAAGCAATAAAAGAGTTTCTACAACTTAGAAGGGAAATTTATTAACCAACCTTTAATCTACTAGCTATTAAGACAAAAAAATAAACTAAGAGGTTTTTATAAAAACCATGTTTAAATACCTTAAATTATTATTGAATAAAGATGATTAGATATTAATTAAAATTTTATTTTTGATTATATCTTTACCATATAGTCATGTTACAATATAATACCAAACAAGATGTTGTAATTGTTACAACCTTCAAGATGATGTAATTGAAATGAAGATCCTTAAGATTGACATGTTCTTCTTTGTATACATGACTAAATACAATTATGACCTTGGAAGAGACTCCCAATATTTGGTGATTTTATTAGAGGTAGAAACAACTCCTAAAGATATTCCAAATGCTTTATTAGAAGGAAGTTATGAAGGCCTCAACAATTATCAAATAATAGAGTGGTCTTTTAGCCTTAGTATGTGATACTATCAATAGCTGAGAAGAACTATCAATTATCATCAAAGAGAACAAAGATCAAAGTATGTATCAAATATAATTTGGCACATCTTGGATTTTTTCAACATATGATGACTGCTTCTCATACAACTTGTCTCGAGAAAAAAAATTGATATCATGGACATCTATATTTATTCTAATAATTATCTATATAATTAAGTAGAAGTTAGTAAAAATAAATTAATTTTATAATATCTTCAAGAAAAGCTTTTTACAAGTTATATAGATGTAGCTTTGACTTTATACATGTTTATAGTAGATTGATAGGTTAGAAACTTAATCAACAAATTAATCACATGTCACACATCTTGATAGCTTATGGAACAAGCTAATTATATTGTGCACATATAAAAAACTTACCTTACAAATTAAGACATGTGTCTTACAAAGTCAACACACGTTGGAGGTCTAATAAAATATTACCATGTAGCTTTTAATTAGATAATACATATAGAAGTAAAAGTGAAGCCTTATTTACCTTTGTCAATGCTTTTTTAATCTTTAACCTTGTTTCAAGAGTTTTTGATCTTATTGTCTTTAAAAATAACCATTCTAATTTAATATTATATCATCTTGGCACCATACTATCAAATTCATTGTAATCTTTTTTAGTATGAGAAACATCGTTACACCAAATGCATCTTTGTATATATCATTGCTTAGAAATAGCTTTCAAATTGATTATAGAAGTCTTTTCTTCAAGTCTTACTAATTTAATTTGAAGTTCCCACATATCACACATAATTTCTTCAACTCCCATATCTTCTTTTTTGAATGTAGATGTTGGAGATTGAATAATAAGCATTGTTAGTTGTATTGTATGTACTTGAGTTTTAGGTGCTTGTACTACTCTCAAAACATTAATCTTGTCCTTCTTTCTCTCTTTTTGCAAGTAAACCCACAACATCTTCAACATTTCTCCACTTTGTTGTCAACCTTTCATCTTCTTCTTTGTCTTCAAGAACCAACTCCAATTTTTCTTATAACTCACCATTCGTAGTTCAAGAAACAACTCAATCTTCTTTGGTTCTAATTTTAACTTTTGGACTTTCAATAATTGAGAAAGACAAAAAAAAGATGGAATACAAAAAAATATTGTTTGTATCTAATCAAAGACAAAAAACAAAGAACTAATAAGCTCAAGGGAGATAAATTATACCAGTGGGGAAAGCTTTGCCAATAGCATTGCTGTAGACTCCTTGATACTTCTGCACAAGTCCCTTGGGATCCTCAGTCGATATGTCTGTATTGTTGAGCACTCTACCCGCAGCTTTAAGACTTTCCAGCTCGTGCTCGTAAAACGAATGCGATAGACCCATCACCTGTGTGCTCAAAAACGGTCGAAAAGAATAATCTCTGATTAAAATTTCCAAAGAAATTCAGAACACTCCTCCAGCAATGAAAGTAAATCGACTGCAATATCCACATTTGCACTGTGGTCATAGCCAGATTCTCTCGCAGGAATTGACACTCACCACACCTCCAGATCATATCGATGAAGCGTTGGTACGAGTCGTAAGCAAATCGTTCTCTATTGCGAGCGGCAAGTCCAATGACCACCTCGTCGTCAATCCCAGGTTCAACACTCTGTCCATCATCCCAGGCATTGGAATCTGCAAAATCATCACGTGAGAATGAATCCAATGATCCTCTGACCTCATCAAAACGCAGCTACTGCATACACGACAACCGACAACTGTTTTGAGAAAAAGTTAGTCCATTCACCGCTGCCCCGCAGTGCACAGAAACAAGAAGGGGTTTGGAAGGATCTCCCAGCATAGCTCCCATGTCGATTTCAATAGTTCGCAAGCCTCCCAGCACCTCCTCCCACAGACTATTCAGTGGCTGGCTTCCATTTGAGTTGTATTCTTCGCAAGTTTCTGTGGTTACAGTGAGGCCTGGTGGCACGGAGAGTCCGATGCTTGACATTTCAGCGAAATTAGCACCCTTGCCACCAAGCTGTCCATCCAGACCCAAGTGTGAAGTTGTATTTTCTGAAAGCCTAGCAGCTAACAATAACATCTGCAATACAAGCTTCGAAGCAAGAAATAGAAGTTGAAGGCATACCACGCTCTTCATCCCCATGTTTCCCTGACTTCGGCCCTTCCTGAAAGAGAAGACTCTCTGCACCACACAAAACAATAATCATCACAGATTGTCATGGAATTTTTCCTAGGTGTTGCACACTCAGAATTGAATTTTAGTCGAGAAGCAATTTCTCAAACAGAGTCGGATATCGGCACAATAGTAACTAGCTGAAGCTTTCTGCTTAATTTTTGTAGGAGATGCTACACTCTGGCTTCGAATTCCAAAGCTACCGACACGACACACGTGTTTCCTCCGGCGCACTTCGCTGATTCGAACTGCGTCGCCATGGCGCCAAGCGCTACATCGACTGCCTACAAATAAGCCATGCCGAGCTGCAACATGGGTACAACTTGCAGCGCCCCTGCCATCTCCAGCTTCATTCACCACAAGGGTTCGAGTAGTAGGATTCAAGTGCAAATCACTTACAGTCTTCATTAGAAGTGCCTCGATCGGCATGCGTTCCGCTTTCAGTCAGCCTTTGCTTGTTGAAATTTCCTCAAATCCGATCAGGTCCTACACCTCTGCGCAATCGACTCGCACAACGGCAATTAGAAAAACAGAAGTGTTCCATTCTTCTACCCTTGCTCACGTCAGACTGCTAGGCCGAGCACCTCCGCACACAAGCCATCTACAAAACAAAAATAAATAAATAAAAAATAAATAAACATAATCTAACAACAACAAATTGGCGCCCAACTCCACGAACAGATGGTGAGAGATCTTTTTCTAGTCACCGTAGTAACTGTGCTGACACAATCGTAACATGGTCACTATCAACTTGCAAATTCTCCTCCGTGCGATAACAACTTTCCACCAATTTACTCCCCTTATCAAATTACATGTCAAGGATCCTGGTGAGCTTCGGAATTCTCTGCCGGAAAGCCATCAACAATCTACTAATGCCTAGTATTCTCCTCAAGTCATTGCTTCCAGATTCTCTAAAACTAACACCCACTAAAATCTATATCCAAACTCGAGAGGCGCAATCCTGACTTTTAGTACCCAACTACTCCACAGAAAATTCTGCGGTATCCAGCTCATATTGCAATAGACTTCTCTCTGCCAGTCCCTGCTAAATTTGCTTCGGCTGATCAATTGCGTGGACACGAGGTTTCAAAAGCACACAACAAGCAATACCACAGACGATGGTCAATCGAGTCCATGATATCCAAATCAAGACCATGCAAAGGTGCTCCTCCATCTCAGAGGCTTACAATTCATGCGACAGATGACGACGAGAACGTGACTGCTGAAAAGAATGGCGCAACTGCAGTTCGAGCAGAAACTACTTTCATAAATGCTCCTCTTCTCTTCATCTCATTGCATTATCATTCAAGCTCATACGCTTTCTGTGATCCGAGTCGGGTCATGCTCCACCGTTTCTATGTGTCCTCATTCCATCTGTCCGTCCATCTTAGATTCGTCAACTAAGACCCTTCTGGGCACACTCCCGCTACCGTAGACGATGAAAATATCTGCGGTTCTACCGTGTCGTGATTTCAAGTTTCTAACACTTTAAGCTTAATCTCCTTACACTAATATATTCTAGTCCTCCGCTGCAATCTCTGCGATTAAGCTCAAACCCTAGCCATTTGCAGTGTGTTTGGCAATAGATCTGCAATTGTAGTGGCCTCCAATCTGCCGGCCCCTTCGAATCGCACTTCGCCTGGTTGACGGCGTGGACATGAGGTTCGAAGAGTGCCAAACAACCATCTCGACAGATGACTACCGACAAAGTCCCTGACACCCTACTCTAGAGTATGGACAACCGCTTTCCGCACAATTCGATCTGGGTCATGCTTCATGTGAGGGAGATCGAAACACTGGTCGTAAGGGCTGTCGCAACGCGATGGAGGCTACAATAGCCTTATCTAAAGCCCCACAGGTCAACCAGATTCCACACAAAAATTGAGCAGGGTAGAATTTTTTATTCTTCTATTTTTATTTATTGTACTCGAAGAATGAACACTCGAATGAAACTGTTCACAACAGATCACTCATTATTCCGATCAATGATGTACCGGAAGTCTCCGCTTTCGCAAACTCCCCAGCAACGTGAGGATCAGCTGTTGATGCGTGGTGTACCCTAGACTTCTATATCGTCAGCTCAAGCTTGGCATGGGTTTCCGTGTTGAGGAGCCAAAATCTGGTGCTCTAAGCTACATGCACACGATCTTCGCCACGACCAGTTATCGTCTACTTCTTGGTGAGGTAGAAGTTCCACTTGTACACGTAAATCGGAGGCACGGTGGTGGAGTTCTCGGGCTGGGACAGTCCGTAGCCAGAGTATCCTCGGAACTTTCCAGTGCCGCCGATGACCACCAATTCCCAGGGAGTTGGGCCGTAAGACAGGGTGCCCACCACTGTGATGCTCGAGCCGGGGTACTTGGATCCCTCGCCGAACCAGAACTTGCTAGTGACCTGCACGCCTCCCGTTGGCAATCCTCCGATGGTGGACAGAACTCCGAACCCTGTGATTCTGCCCAGCAACTTGCTGTCGAGTGCAGCTCCTTGCTTCAATCTGTTGTCGAACACAAGGAAACTTCCCCATCCGAGGGCGCTGAAGTTGCCCTGCCCGGTTCCAGCAGCAGGCAAGAGGGTGGCATTGGGTCCCCCGCGGGTCTCGTGAGCGTAGTACGTCAGTTTCAGCGTCTTGGACGCTGCATTCAACACAGGTCGGTGGTAAGAGTTGCAATCAGGGTTTTGTTTCGCAGTTCAATATCCAACACAACATTTAGATCCACACTTTCAATCCGCTTAAGCATGGATGCGTACTGATCAGGAACCTACCTGCAAACACCGATGTCTGAAAGCTGCAGATGCAAAGCACCACACACAAGGCGTAGACGGCTGCGGAGACTGCCATCGCTGCTCAACTTGCTACCTGCACAGGGTCACTGAATCATTTCAGACATGAACCCTGGAACATCACATTTTGGTTGTGGAAACGATAGAATGTCCTAACGATCAAGCACCACATTTCACCAAAGCTCAGAAGTCAATTCCGGTATGGATATCTCATGCTGGTAGAGAAGAAACTGAAAGTTGCATCAGTAGTGACGCCGCGATTGAGCTAATTCCACGTACAACTAACAACGAACTAAGAACCGTACCTTGCTAACCCTCTTTTGCCTCGAACCCAAGAGGTGAAAAGTCAGTATGATCTGCACTGTATCGATACGGAAACTGAAAGGTTGGGATAAGTCGATGGAAATGATCACAACCTGGGTCTTACTTATACCCGACTAGATCCGATAAGTAATTCACGAGCAAACCCTATTGATTGTTGACTACATCGCAATCTGACCCTGGGAGTCAGCAATCCGAATCCCTTGATTGGAAGCGACTTTCCAGGTGCAACTAACTTTTGAATAAGCGTTTGACTCTAGAGCGATGGACTACAGTGTCCGCTGTTGTTGAAGGTGTCAATAGCTGGAAGAAAGATTTCTGGATCGGCAACAACGATCAGGTACACGAGTTGCCCGTGGCACCGGTGTACAGTGCGGGGCAACAGTGACGGCTCCAATGTTAGAGAGGCTGATTAATTCCCCAGCAATAGAAACCTAGACAAGTTTCCGCAGGAGGCACACGGTATCTGTGTTAAAAAAATCTAAGCATCAGCTTCTCACGTCAACGCTACGGCATTTTCCTCCTAAACTTTCTAGTCAACGTTGTCACATTTTCAACGCACAGAGTTTTAAGGAAGGCTTTGCCCGGAATTGGTGTGGACTCTCTCTCATTTGGGTGCTTCTTGTATTAGATTTGTCTCATGCGGGTGCTTGGGGTAGATTCCCAGGCAAGATTAGTGTTTTATCAAATTTTGGCATGGTCAGTCCACCATTGCTTTTTTTGCTCCTCACAAGCAGTAGCATCAAGCTTTCGGTATCTGGTCATGTAGCCGTGTTGTTTCTGTATCTGGCGGTAGTCTTGACAATGAAACCATTTCTGATAGCCTCAACACTTGCCACAGTACTTTGTGTGTGGAGAATATGGTGAGGGTTTAGAGAATGATGTATATATATATACGTTCTGGTGTCCTTTGGATAAGTGTAAAAGTAACTTTCTGAAATAGGGTATATAGAGAAAGGCTTGGAAGAGCAAAGCAGTAGGGATAGCAATATTTGGAGACTACAAAAATATCTCCATTCTTTTATCCTACCTTGAATACCTTGAAACTATGGATGTCCTTTTTGATAAGAGTACCTTAGTTGGTGGCAACTCATGTAGAATGTTTAAAAGGTGGTTATAAATGTTCAACTTGAATTCTTGCTTTTAGACTTCACAAGTTTTGGCAAGAGATTAGAAGTTTCACCAAGATTGAAAAATGACTTCCACTTTCATTCTTGATTTGCATCATTTTTTTGTATTCAACATTGTTGATATTTTGGTTTGGTAGAGTTATACATTGTATTGTAATTCATCTTTGTTGTTGTATTCTTCTTTATTTTGACATATTAATAAAGGGTCTTTATAATTAAAATATTACATATATTATTTTTATATATTAATTTTTTATTCTAAAAAATTTTAACTATTTCTTGAATTTTATATTACAAAAAATAATTTTATGCACATATAGATACTAAAAAAGTCAAAAGAATATATAGTTATGGACTAATGTTTCTGACATATATTCTAACTATCATTAAAAGTCTTATCATTATCATTTAGAAACCTTTATTTTTTAATGATTATATTTTAGATAATAAAGAATCTCATATATCTAAAGATATAATATTACAAATGTAAATTTTCATGGTTGATTTTGTACATGATATTATTTCTTATTCATTAATGAATATGTGTTGAAGTTCTATCTTAGATTCTTTATCAATAAAATAAGATATAATAATTTAATTTTTTTAATTAAAAAAATAAACTATTGATCATATTTCTATTTTTAAGATTCACCAATTGTAGCCTTCTATCAAATATATTTTATTAAAAAAATTGCATAAGCTAATTTTTTTTCTATGTATCATTAATAATAATAATTACAATAAGATAATTAAAGATAGAAAGTTCTTTGCTAACACAATATTGGGTATAAATATAAGTATTTATATTATTTATCAAGTGAAATTTTTGTGTTAATGTATAATTATTAATTTAGAAAAGATGAATTGTATGTGTCTTTTTAGTTGTTGCTACAATAAAAAGACAAAGGTACTAAAAATTAAATAGAAAATTTAAAATATTTATTATCTAGATTTTAGATAAATTGGATAAAACCATGATTATAATAAAATTTATTTTCATAAAAAATAATATTTGATAATATTAAAAATAGCATTAATTTAGAAGAAAGTCAAGACAAAAAGAACGTATTAAAGTCTTATAATTTGGTTAAGTTAACACATTAGTTTATATATATATATATATATATATAGATATATGTGTGTGTGTCTGTGTGTATGTGTATGTGTTAGATTTCTTGTATTTTTTTCACAAAATAGACATGTATTGACATAGTTTATCTCATTGATTTTTATACAAAAATTAGAATGGCTTTTGATTTTTTTAGTAAGAAGAAAATTATATTAGAATTAAAAATTTTAATATATCAATTTTTGAATAAATTTTTCAATTAAATAATTATAGTAATACTATACATATATATTTAAAAAAATAGGTATTTATGTAATATTATTAATCTAATTACCTAGTACATAGTACATGGTTTTTTCTTTAATGACTTCTTAAATAGCACAATGTTTTTAAAAAATGATCAAAATTTGATAAATATTTTTAAAAGATTTATTTTAGATAATTCTAAAATAATTTTCTCTATTAAATATTAAAATATATTTCAAAGTATTATTGCAAGGCTTAGTGAATATAATATAAGATGAAAATTATGTTATAATTATAAAAAATAATAAAACATAATCTATTTTATAATATAAATAGTTGATAGCTATATTAATATTTTTTGATATATTAAAAATAAATAATTAATAAATTATAACTTAGTATTCTTAAATATATCATTAAATTTAGTTTATATATCTTTAAATAAGAAATTATTAATTTTAATTTTTAATATTAAAATTATAAATAGCCATATCAAAAAAATTAATAATATACTAAAATTTTATTAATTATTTATTTAAAAATATTTTATATATATTAGTATATATCATAATATTAATAAATTTTAGAAGTAATTTTAATAAAATAATAGTCATTAACAAATTTTAGATAATTTTTTATAAAATAATTTTTTATAAAATAATTTTTTATAAAATAATTTTTTATAAAATAATTTTTGAATAATAAAATTTAGTTTTAAAAACAATTATAATTTTTACTATAATTTAAAATTATTTATAGATAATAATTTTAAATTTTATTTTATATTTTATTTATTTAACAAAAATTAAACATTAAAAATTAATTAATTAAATTATTTATATATTTTTATCTATATTTTATATTATTAGTAAATTTATTTTTAATTAAAAATTAGAATATTATTTAAAAAAATTATGATTTTACATGTTATTAATTTAAGAAGTCATAAAAAAAACATATTATTTAAAATTTTTAATGCATCAAAAATTATTTAGATTATATCATATCTATTAATTAAAGTAATTAAAATATTTTAAATTACATACACATTTCAAATTATTATATATATGTCTATCTTTTTTATGTATATACACAAGTATTTTAATTAATTACTTTGCTTGTATCCTATAAATAAATTTTGAGACATCTTCTTTTCATCATTCTTTATTTTGGATCAAATCTTTTTTGTAGTACAAGTTTTAGACTTCTTTCCCTCCTTTCTTGTCTCAATGTAGATTCCACTCCTAGTCCAAGTCCAAAACATCCTTCCTTTCTTTTTTGTTACAGTGCAAGTTCAAGTCTTAGCTCAAGTCTTAGACCTCATTTCCTTATTCTTTATCATTTGCAAATTTAATTAGCAAAATAATTGTCAAAGATATGAATCATAACAAATAAAACCTCAATACTTTCTTATGTCACTAAAAAAGAATAGGTATTCACTCAAAAATTATTTGATATTGAAATTGGAATGACTACTGCCAAAGATAAGAAGACTAAAGATTCTTGAAACAAGATTAGTGATTAGAAAGGTGTTTATAAGAATAAAAAAGACTTCATTCTTTCCTCTATATATATAATCTAAGTAAGAGCTATATAACAATATTCTATAGGACCTCTAATATGTATTCAATTTGCAAAATATAAGTCTAACTTGTAAGAAAAGCTTCTTTTATATATACCATATAATTAGCTTATATCACAAATTACAGATACATGCAATACATGGCTAATTTTTTGGCCAAGTTTTTAACTTATTAAATAATTACAAATACATCTAAAGTCAAATCTTTATATAATTACCATAAGATATTATTAAATCTATTTATTTTTACTTATTTCTATCTAACTCTTTTATTCTAGGTAAATATGTATGTCCATGATATTACACACCTACCTTTTTTTTTTCTTTTTTTTTCCTATTCTCCTTCCTCTCTTATTATCTAAAAAGAAGTTTTACAAGAATCAATAATCATATGTTGAAGAAGTCAAAGATATAACAAATTATGTTTGTCATATATACTAAACTTTGTTTTATTTGAAGGTGGTTGATAGGTCCTCTAAGCTATTATTAGTATCCTATATTAAGACAAAAAAATCACCCTCATATTTAATCATTGTTGAGGCCTTTATAACTCTCTTTAAATAATCATTAGAATTGGTTCCTATTAAAAGTCTCTTCCAAAGTTGTAATATTAAACACATTATATTTCACCATCTATTTAAAAAAGAATATATCATTTTTGAGGGTCTTTATCTTTATTATGTCGTCTTAAAGGTTATAACAATTGCAATGTCTTGTTTGATAATTTAGCAAACAATAGCTCTTGAGTTGAATCTATTGGTTATTGATACTCTATTTTTTTAGTACCACAAATATATAAAAAACTACAAATAAAGATAGAAGATAGAATGCAATCTATTTTGAACCTTGTTTCTTTTATATCAAAGATTTGCTATTCTTTATTTTGGTTTTGATTGATGTCATTGATAAAAAAAAAAAAAAAAAAAAAAAAAAAAAAACATCAATCTTCTTTATTGCATTTGCAAGATTCTTAGTTGGCTTCCATGTTTATTTATTAAATTTATATTTGTACCAATAAATAAAATATTTCAACCTATTTTTATAATACCTTAAGTATAAGACTTCTTCAACTTCATATTTATGATTATTCTCTATTTCTATCAAAAAAAAAAAGAGAT